TGATATAATTATGTAATTGTAGTTTTGTAATTTATCAGCACACACCCTGGTCGACCACTGTAAACCAATCTGCCGTTAAGCGAGTGTGTACCTACTGAAACCTGGCCGTAGGCCTATGCTAGACCGTATAGGATAACGACCTTCTTCCACTAGCAGGCCTGTTTCTGTTTGCACAGATAGTCCCACTAGTTTCCGATACATTTATAGGGGATAGTAGGAGATTAAAAAAATGGAGAAGAGTTATAGAGGTTTTGTTGTTGTTGTTTTGCTGAAAAGAGAGAAGCAGAACTATACGAAATTACCTGCTGAAAAAAAGATAAGTCTTTTATTTTGGTTAGTGATCGTTTGGATTTGGGTCAACCCACGTTGTGTTTAGGTTAGTATAAATAAATAATACTATATAGTCATATAAATCACCACAGCTCATTATCTTCAGCGTTATCGGCGTTTCTGGATCTTTAGTTGCCTCTGTGATATACTTACTTGCGGCATACTATTTTGGGAGTGTATATGAGCGTGTACCATGTACGGTAGCTCATCTCTCATCGTGATGGTGGGACATAGAGAGAAAACAAGGAGGTATTAGTATTAGTTATATGTAAACAAACAAAAGAAACGAAGAGAAGAGGAAAGAAGAGCAGAAAAATAAAAAAGGGATGAAGTAGATAACAAAGAAAAGAAACGTAGGCAGATTATTAGAAAAGGCATTATCCGAGACTCAGCAATCAAATGTCACTCCCGCCGAGATCTCAGCGAAACCCCCTCCCCGCCGAGACCCGCACAGCCGAGCTCGGTAGAAAAAACTAAGTGTGTAGATAGATTAGTAGGAAAATAAATAAAACTACTTTATGACTCAAAGTGCAATGAATGAGCGTTAGTTTCGGGATCATTTCAGTGTTAGAGTTATGTTAGTTTTGATCCGTAATCAGCCCTGCCAACCCCTCAACATTAGTTGCAGGCAGTGGTTGTTAAATTTATGCGGCACTGTAACTACTTCTATTTTAGAGGTATGATTCGTCAAGTTTATACAACTCAATGTTTCAATTGAGCCAAACTATCTATCTTACAATTACAAAAGCAAACCTAAACTTACAATTATATGCAAATGCAAAATGAAACTCGACAAATCATCATTATTCCAGGGCAGGGCCTGACGATTTGAATCTAATTTTGATCAGTGAACGGGCACCATATGGTACATTTTCTCACCATGAACCTATCATTTCCAGCCTATCTGAACTATTTAATAAATGGAAGCCATAACATGGGTTACGCTCCCCCTAAGCGAACCCTCCGCATCCTGTCTCTGTCTTATCTCAAATACAAAATGCCAATGGTATGAATGTATCTATATATAACTTGGAAATGACGTACAATCAAATGAACCCGTAACCCACTCACTTGGTCAGGCTTCAGAATCGTCCAGTGGGCAGTGCGCTCTACACGCCAAGTTACCTTTTTTTTCAAATTTACCACAAATTTGATATTTTACCCATTGAGTGTTGATTAGTCACAAGAAACATTGTGACAAAAGTTGAGGTTACTAGTGTATTAAATAATCTAGGTCCTATTTAGGATTATATCTGAAAAATCCAAATCTGGCCAACGCCCACCCTAAACCTAAACCTGTTCTAATCCACCTGAAATGACTAACGAATGGAAGACTTTGACTACCCAGCCATGCAATAGTCTCATTCCGTGCCTTATGGCAACTTGATGATTCTACCCAAGTAACCATAGGCACGATATTTCGCCTTTTTGGCTATATACGGGCCTCATCAGAACTTGCAAACACTGGTATAGCCGGTGTTCAGCTGTATATAGTCAAAAAGGCAAAATAACGTGCCTATGGTTACTTGGGTATTGCGCTCATCTTCTGGCACCACCCAGGGGAGACTTGGTCCTGTACCCAATGCTTAACTTATCTCCATTCCACTCAGCTACTCGCAATTTCTTGTGATATAGTGGGCGGAATATTATTATTTGAGATAATTCAATGTAGACGTCTTTCCAAATTTGGCAGATCGATAGGTAATCGGTGAGTTACCACGATAGTTGCTATTGAACAACTCGACAACGTCCCATCGTGAACGCCTGCTATGAGAATTTCCCATTTCAGACGCCAACGAAATGACGTCTTCGAGCTATCGATCAACTACCCTGGTTATCGCCTGGTACCTTATAGCACGATGCTAGGAGGCGAACCGGAAGAATCGATGAGCTACCTCCCCCAAACGAGCCGTGGATAACTATCGTGGAATTACATCGCTGAGTGCTGTTTCGAAACTATTCGAGCTTGTTATTATGGAACCGTTGCTCTCTCACAGTGCTGATCAACACGGGTTTACTGGCGGTCGCTCTACAACCACCAATCTGCTATGCCTCACATCCTACATTACCGATAGTATGACTGAACGGGTACAGACGGACGTTATATATACCGATCTATCCGCGGCATTCGATTAGTTGAATCATGACATTGCGATTGCTAAATTCGACAGGCTTGGGGTGAGCGGTAATCTCTTGAGTTGGTTCCGTTCGTATGGTTGCTATAGGAGATTGCAAATCAACTAGCTTCTTTGCCACATCAGGTATACCGCAGGGAAGCCATCTGGGACCGTTGATTTTTCTACTCTACTTCAACGACGTGAATCTGGTTATCGAAGAACGTCGATTATCATATGCAGACGACCTCAAAATATTTTTACGAATTTGCTCGACCGCTGACTGCCACAATTTTCAACATCAGCTTAATGTCTTCGCCAGTTGGTGTACTTTAAATCGAATGGTAGTGAACCCAGCAAAGTGCTCTGCCATAACGTTCTCACGAAAAAAGCAACCGATTGTATTCAGCTATGACCTGCTTGGAACGACACTCGAACGCGTGAATCAGGTGAAAGACCTTGGTGTGGTGTTGGATTCACAGCTAAAATTCAGGCAACACATTTCTTATGTCATCGATAAGTCGTCTAGGACTTTAGGATTCATCTTCAGGTTAGCTAAGAATTTCACCGATGTCTACTGCTTAAAATCTCTTTACTGCTCCCTCGTACGATCGACGCTTGAGTGTTGTTCTGCGGTTTGGAATCCAAATTACAACAATGGTGCCGAGCGAATCGAATCTGTTCAACGTCGCTTTCTTCGTTTTGCGCTTCGTAGACTGCCCTGGAGAGATCCGCTTCGGCTGCCCAGCTACGAGAGTCGCTGCCAACTGATAAACCTTGAACCTCTCCGGATTAGAAGGGACACCAGCAGAGCTTTGATTATCGCCGACACTCTACAGGGACGAATAGATTGTGAGGCTATCCTGAGGCAAATTGACCTAAACGTGCAACCCCGACCACTCCGTAACAACCTCATGCTGAGACTGCCACTGCGTTGCACGAACTACGGGGCATATGGTGCGATTTGCAGACTACAGCGTGTGTTCAACAGAGTTGCATCTGTATTAGACTTTCACCTCACACGTGATGCGCTTCGTCGGAGATTCTCATCTGTTTTCGCCGGCCGCAGTGACTGACAGAGAAAATTAGTGTATTTCTATTTATGTTTTTTACATTCTGACCATGTTGCTTTGTTTTTCTTTCTGTGATTATTTGTCATGTAATTTTACTATTATTATTATTATGATTAGTATTATTGACATCATTTGGGCAACAGTATGTATGGCAACAATAAATAAATAAATACGAAATACGGATCATAAAATGAAACCTTCACTCTCTTCTGTGCTTCAGAGCCCTAATTTAAAACTAATGATGGAGCTACTGAAAAAAGCGCATTTTGTGGGAATTGTTTTATTCCACACATGCATGGTGTTTTTGTGTACTATACTGTGGTGCATATCAACAAAAATGTGTGACAAAATAGTATCAGTTTCTATTGTAGTCGATGTCGATGCCGAATTCAGTGCACATTGATCACAGCAAAATAGCTCAACATTGATCATGTAATTCTGTCAATTCTTAACCATTACATTAAATTTAAACACATTATCTTATGCGTAATATGAACGGTGGTCTGATTATGCTAACATGAATTGTCGCGAGTTTTGAACCATAACCGAAACATTGAAATACTTGAAAAAAAATAAGATAAAGTATAATAGTCAAAAATGCATGACAAACATCATTTTTGCATAATTCGGTTCTACGTCATACTGCGGTCGTGTCTAGGACACAACCCTTTAATTTTTTTGTTGTTGCCAAAATCTCCACTGTGCATTTCAGTCTTCGTCGAGCTTGTTTTCCGCAAATTAAAAATATCGTCAACAATAGTTTTCATTTGATTTCATTGGTAAACATGGTTTATTTGTTATGTATAGAATAATATTGTAAAATTCAATAGTTAAATTGAGTAAATAATAAAAGCTGTTGCTAGCATGATTAATTATCGAAAGGCTATGTCAAGAACAACATGTGAAAAGGGCATACACGCTTTTTGTAAACAAACCTTCTTATGCCCTTTTCTCGCCACCCATATGACACCTACGCAAACCCTCAACATCACCTTCCCGATGATGATGTTGCTTTGCATGGGCGACCCTTGGTTGGCGAGATAAGAGCGTACAAAGGTTTGTTTACAAAAAGCTTGTATGCCCTTTTCATATGTGGCTCTTGATGTTTATAGCAAGCATTAATCGATTTGAATCCATTTGGCCCTTTTGCCCCATAGGGGTTGGCACTAAAGAGATTGCTAAAGTTTGATTTGGAAAAAAATCTTCATAGTTGACGCAGCGTGTGTACGATAAAGATCAGCAATCTCTATTGTCGCATTACAGTTTCAAAATAAAATTTGAGACGACAACTTTTGAAAAAAATCGCCAACATCTTTTGACGAGATTTAGTTGCTAATTTATGAAGCAAATATTATGAACGGTGTACACTCTCTTATAAACATCCACCATTTGGCACTCTTGCCCCACCGGACCCTACTACTAATCAAGATACAAGATTTATCGATAGGTAATTTTCGGTTTCCTTCTTTCGTTTCACTTCCAGAGGGCGACATTTGTCAGATGGAAAAAGGCTCAACCGGCAAGTGCACGGTGTCCACCAAGTGTCCCTGGTTCGTATTGAACGTGATCCAACGCAAGCTGGTACTATATGAAGACGTTCCAAAATGTGGCTTCACCGTCACTGATGAACTGGTTTGCTGCCCGAATGAGGACAAAAGCAGGTATGGAATTGATTTGCGTCATTGTACGGGTTCACTCCCCTGGACTCCCGCCGCTTATCATAAATACATTGGTTTTTAAAAATTCCATGTATTTTTCGTTTGACGTCAGGTCCGGATCGGTTCGGAAGGCGGTTCAGGCGTGTCGGAATTTCATGTGGGGGAGTTCCTACATTGCGCAGCACATCGTAGAAGGCGTGGAAGCTGAGGATGGGGAGGTACCGTTTATTGCAGCGCTTGGATATAGGTCGTCAGAGCCTGGTCGGCTGTATGATTGGGGCTGTGGAGCTAGCTGGATTGCGAGCAAGTATCTCCTGACGGCGGCTCATTGCGTACGATCTTTTCAACGGCCGATATTGGCCCGCATTGGAGTGCTCAACTTGGAAGATTCTAGCAATCCGGCCATACAGGACTCGGAGCTGAAGGTATGTGCCTCGTGGATGAATTTCATAGTTACGATTCAATAACAACCCGTTGGCAACATTTTCAGGCGTTCTATTCCCATCCAAACTTCACGTCCAAGAGCAAATACCATGACATTGCTGTGATTGAACTGGTGACGCCTTTCAAGTATGACACAAATATTAATAAGATTTGCCTGCATGCTGACCCACAGGATATGCTATCGACGCATGTTCTAACCTCGTCCGGATGGGGATTGACGGAGAGTGGGTTCTGAGATATTATTTCAAATATCTGTATTTTAAATAGATTTTTTTTTAACTTTCAGCCGATGGGTCTCGATCAGACGTACTGCTCAAGGTTGAACTAACGACAGAACCGTTGGAGCGGTGTGCTACGGATTATCGATCGCAGGTGGGAAACGCTGGTGGAAGGCTTTCCTCAGGCGTAATCCAGCAGCAGTACTGCGCCATCGGTAAACGCCGAAAGTCCGGTAAACGTGGGGATTCGTGCTTTGGAGACTCCGGTGGTCCCTTGCATTACACCGATCACGGTGCGGATCGATTCTATCTGGTTGGGATCACGTCGTTTGGGCTAGGTTGTGGTGAATCCGCCGGTATCTACACTCGTGTGGCATCCTACCTCGATTGGATAGAGGCAATCGTATGGCCGGACGATGCCTCCGTCTTGGACCAATAAAAGTAGACAAGATAAATGCAAACATCGATGCAAATATAGTTTTTATTACCTTTGTTTAGCACCTCTTGACCATCTCGTGAAACCGATCGCGAGCAAACCTGTTTTTGTTTATAGCAGGCACGCATAGTGTCATCGGATGTCCAGTTCAATGGTCACCAAATGCTCTGCAGATTCTCTTTTGACTGATTCTTGGCGCGAGTTCCCATGAAAAGCGGGCTGGTACTCACTCTCACCGCTCTATAATGCAGCATGATCAGCTCACCACTGTCCGAATCCGAAATATTCATGATGATCGCGCATCCTCATCCAGTAGTCGGTTGGTGTTCAGAGTGCTCACTCCACATTTCGTCGGTGATCGTGTCATTTGTGATCTCTCTATCGCGGAACCGGTTGACCATTTTTACGTTGTTCCCCTTTTCCTATCAATTTGCGGGCAGAACTACAGTTTGCCAGTTCAAACGGATTTAGACCAGTGACATAACGATGATTTACACACGAAAGCTAGCGTCATTTGAGTTATAGTGCATAGCAAGTGATACTAACTGTCATTTTGGTCACCAAAGGCAGATCAAGAACAACATCAGAGAATAAGATAATCTGTAGTTTTTTTTCGGTGAAGTGGTGACCCCTCCGCGACAAGAGCAAAGTTGTGTGCGAACGAGAAAGACTTGTCTTGTTTACAACGCAAAGATTGCGATTCTTCTTTGGGATTGTAAACAAAAAAGCGGTGAAACCTGCTGAAAGCGACGACGATGATGATGACCTTAGGGAAACCCGCTTGTGCCGGTTTACTTCTACAGCTGTTGGTGATCGCTAGCACGTTGCTGTTCGCTTCCGTGCGGTGCATGTTTCTGTACGGTAAGGATCGTCGAACGGTATCATTTGATTTGAAAGGGAGTTTTCTTGTTTTCTGCCCACCCACCCGATAGTGACAGAGAAGGCTTGTGGTGGTTTCTAGCTGACGGCTCGCGAGCAAAGTAGGCGTGTTTGTGTTTGTGATTTGCATTCGCTGTTATAATCTGGTGCTCGGGTTGATTTGATAACCTCTCTTTCTGGGTATTGCTGCTAATCTGCAGGAAGCCGCGACAAGCTTGGAACAGTAGGATGTGCAAAATCAAAACAGAAACATGCTCAGAATGGACTACAAAAAACCGTAGTAAATCAGAGATCATGGAAAAGGCAGATGTACATCATGTTCTGAGTTGTTTCTGAAGCATATTTAATTTATTATTCAAATTTACGTGCTATTTTGAGCATCGTAATTCGTATTTTATGAAAGTCATATTGCACATTGGAGCCATAGAGTATTATTTTGCTTGCCACCAGCGTAGTGAGGGTGAGGTTTTAATAAATGTGTAAAATCTAACTTGTGCCTTCTCTCGCTGGCTCTAATAATCCCGAGAGCTCCGTGAAAGCGTCCGTACCGAACAATCGTCTATACTTGAATCCCCTACTCTAAACTCAGCATTGCTACCGAACCCAACACCTCGATCATATCGCGTTTCCCGAACAGCTGTCATTCGCTCTTACAGTGTGACCAGCTTAACTCGTTATCCCAACTCGTGGCGTTACCATTAACGCTATGTTACCCATCGTTACAGAATGAAGCATAGCGAAATTTTGGCTTATATTCTATAGAAATATTCACAATTTGGATTTTTCACCCTACTGTAAACGTGTGGTTCTGTAAGACCCTATGAATGCACATTCTTGCATAATTTACTTGACATTTTTTCGTCATCGGTAAAGGCGCAGCTATAATGCGAGGCCATGCTGGCGCTGGCTGGGTTCGATTCCCGGTCCGGTCTAGGAATTTTTTGGGTAAGAAATTTCTCGACTTCCCTGGGTATAGATATGGTTGTACTTGCCACAAAATTCAGTGCCAACATTTAAAAGGGGCGTAATTGCTTTTGTAAACAATGGCTTTAGCCGTCGATTTCTCGTAAATAAAAGTTTACTCCTCCAAATTAACAATGCTAGCTGGTAGAGGAAACATTCATCTACCTGTTGGTGTGATTAATTTTTATGAGCGATCTTTTAGTTGCGAGAAATCGACGGCTAAAGCCATTGCTTACAAATGCAATTACGTCTCTTTGAAATGTTGGCACTGAATTATACCAATGCAAAAAGTGCATCTAGAACACTAATAGCGAATTTGTTTTTGATTCAGTTCCAACCTGGATCGGGTATCAAGATTGGGTCTGCTTGTTGCCTTTCAAATGTCAGTGTTAACGTTTGTTTTTGTAACCTGGCTCCAGTTGAGGTTCGCACTGACAATAAGCTCGGGTTCGAACGGGTTGGAATTGGTTCCAACCTGGATAATAATCAAATTCGCTATAAGTTGAGTGCACGCATTAAGCTAATATGTGATAAGCAATAAGCTTGAAAAGCAAAGTAGAATAAGAAGAAATTTAGCTCTGACCATTTTTTGTGTACATGATACAAAACGAAAGAAATTAAATTTTCAATTTCCGTACAGCTCCGTCTTATACCGCATACCCAGGGATGATTAATGTAATGGTGCTAGCAAGCACATACTCTGTAATGAAGCTCGTGTTTCTTTGTTGCGATGCCAATCAAAACCTGCGTTTTATTTATTTCCTTTCAAGTACCTACTCGCTTAGTTTGGATTAAGTCAAATTAGCATTTAAATTTATCCAAAAACCTAAAGGGCGTATTTCTACTCATTGTAACATCTCCCCTTCTTTGAACTCCTCCAAATAAGAACGTAAATCCTGAAGTTGACTTCCTGCTCATCACGTCTCCTGCCCAATCCACGTCCGTGAAACCAACCAGGTCTCCTGTCTCTCCAGTGAATTGTAACTTCCAAGACTTCGTGCCAGATAGCGCACCACCCTCTTTGCGGTCGTCCAATCAGCTCGATATAGAGACCAACGCCCTTTCCAAGCTTAGGTACATCAATAGATCTTCTAACTTCTCTTCACATTCCAGCTTCAAAAACCCTTCGTCCATCGGGGTTTTCGCACATTTTGCATCTGACATTCCAAATCGCGCCGCCAACTTGTCAATGTATCCACGCAAACTCAAGCTGTATCTGCCTTTATCACGTTGGATTTCCATACCCAGAAAGTAGTTTAGCTCTCCCAGATTTGTAATATTCAAATGCTTCTTCAATTCCTTGAAAATCCGCGCAGTAACTGCTTCATCAGCGCATCCCAGAACGATGTCGTCGACATACACTAGCAAATATGCTGACTTGCCGCCGAATGACTACATGTATAGGCATGCACCAGCCGAACTTTGACGGAATCCCATTCGAATCAGAATGTCATGCAGTCGTCGATTCCAGTATCTGACACTCTTGATTTTCCTTTCCTGCCTCCACGAACCACGAATGTAATGCTCGTATTGAAGCTCGCCGTGCAGATATGCAGTTATGACATCAAGATGCATCAATGCTCGCAGTGGCAAGTAGGGCCCGAAACGAAGCTTGGCTGGTAATAGGTGCGAATACTTCCTTGAAGTCCACCCCATATTGCTACGAGCCTTATACTTAATAATCTCTCCCGACGCATCGTACTTCAGTTTGACCACCAATTTGCTGCCGATAGATTTTCTTCCAGCGGGCAAGTCTGTCCCATGTCCCGTAGCCCACGAACTTCAGCTTCATAGCCTTCCTGACCAGCTTGTTACGCTTCTCATTCGGTACATGTACCCAGGCATCCGATCCAAACACTCGCATATGACTATACATGGGCTGCTTGCCGAACCACAACTCGTACGGAGTACAATCCAACTTGGCAGACGGTAGATGATTACAAATATAACATGCTGTCATCACCGCCTCACCCCAGTATTTTCTACTTAGCTTTGCCTCCAGCAACAGACACCGTGTCATCTCCACCAGAGAATGGTTCGCCCTAGAGTCGGTGTATAATGAGTCACGCCAAGAGAAAAACAGTTGAACTCGCATCACGGTTTTCGAAAGATTCCCTTTCTTTTAACTTGGCAACAGAGGACTTCTGCATCAACTGCAAATGACTTCTAGCGAGGAAAACAATTAACGGCTGTAGTAAATCATTATATCAGTGATTTTTTCGAATTATCTTAAAGAAAAATAGTAGAAATTGTCATTACTGATCATTACAAAACGTATCGCATGACAAATGTAATGCTCACTGCGTGTATATGATCATTTCTTCGATTATATTTTATATTTAATTGCAATACCTTTCGTGGACCTTTCATAGCATCGTAATGCTTGTTTACTTTGCACGATAGGTAGCCGGTTTGACAGTTCAATAGGTAGACTTGGCTTCTATCTTGGCGTGACTCATTATACACCGACTCTACTTCGCCCTTTCCGCCTTGCCATTTTGTTGCGGACTATAAGGAGCCGTCTGTTGCAGCGTAATCCCATGTCCACTCAAGTAATTCTTCAACTTTCTGCTTGAGTATTCGCCTCCGCCATCAGTTCGCAGGATTTTGGGCTTCCTTCCGAACAAATTCTCAACCAGGCTCACGTAGCTGCGTATCTTCTCATACGCTTCCGATTTGTGTTTCAGTAGGTAGATGATAGTGAACTTACTGAAATCATTAATCATCG